TGATAGGGTGTATCCATGAGAGCTGAGAGAGCTGACAGACACCGTAGTGAGGCCACTCATGATCATCTTTGAAAGGTTGTGGTGATCAGGAGAGGTGCCTGAGGACTGGAAGAAAGCAAATATTACCCAGGTCTCCAAAAAAGGCAAGCAGGAGAACACAGGGAACTACTACCCTGTCAACCCCACCTCAGCCTCTGGAAAGGTGATGGAATACCTCATTCTGGAGGCCATCTCTGTTAACATGAATGGCAAAAAGGTGATCAGGATTAATCAGCATGGATTCACTGAAGGTAAGTCATGCTTGACCAACATGATTGCCTTCTATGATGAAAAAACTATCTGGATGGATGAGAGAAGAGCAGTGAATATTGTCTACCTCTACTTCAGCAAGGTTTTTGACACTGCCTCTCACATCATCTTCATAGGCAAACTCAGGAGGTGTGGACTGGATGAATGGAAGGTGAGGTAGATTGAGAACTGTCTGAACAGCAGATCCCAGAAGGTCATAAACTGTGGCACAGGGTCCAGTTGGAGGTCTGTCACTAGTGGTGTCCCCCAAAGTTCAATACTGGGCCCAGTATTTAACTTATTCATCAGTAAGTTAGATGAAGGGACAGATGCTGCCTCAGCAAGTTCACTGATGACACAAAGCTGGGAGGAGTGGCTGATACCTGTCCTGGTTTGAGACCCCTAAAAATCCAATTCCCAAGTCCAAGCCCCCCTACCACAATTCAACCCAGTGTAAGATAGGTTTTCCAGACAAAACACGAGGCTCAAAATGGGGAGAAGGGAATTATATTACAATGCACTATACAAATAAATATTATAATACGTCATATACAATCTTAACTATCTCTCCTATGACAAATCAGTATTTAAAATGGAACAGATCTCTTCTCCCTCCAATAAAAGTCCAGAAGGAAGAAGGAAGAGATCCTTTCCACTCTCAGAGCAGCAGTCTCTCTAGGGCAGCAGTCTCTCTTCTTCCATGCAGCACCTGTAGCTGGATCTCTTTCCATTATACATGAGGGGAGTCTGCAAGCCCCTCTTGGCCCTTCGACTCCAAGCGAGGGTCTTTCTCTTCCATGGGCTGCATTAACCAGGACAAAGGTCACTTCACCACGTCATATCACAAAGCACAGGAGTCTTTGTGACGGTCCCTATCCTCAGGGGATTCAAGCTCCCTTGAGTCAGAACGTCTCGGGCAGCTTTCAGTTGAAAAGCCTTTGCCTCAAGAGTTCTATCAGAGCTCCCGTGCTCTGCCTCAGGCTGCCAGCTTAGTAGCAGCAGCGGGGGAGGGCCAAGGTCACCCCCTCCGCATTCCGTCTGACCGTCCCGGTCCAGCCCCGGGATGTCTGAGCTTCTTAGTTCCTCTCTCCCATGAACGTTGCACTCCAAGACTCCTCTCAAATAGGAGTCCATCTCCTCCTCCTCTCTAGGAGGTCTCAGAGGGGTTTGGGGAGTTTGTTTCAGTTCTTACCCCAACTCTCTCTCTGTAGAGCTTAGTTCTCTCTCTGCTGCTGGCTCACTCTCTCTCTCCTTGCGGGAGTTCTCTCCGTGTTGCTGCATGCTTGTCTTTGCTGCCTCTTCTTATCCCTTTCTGGCTCTCTGCCACTGTTCTCCGGTCAGTGCTGTTTCTGCCTCTGCTCCTGCTGCTGCTTACAGTGGAGAAACTTACCCCAGCTCTTAGCTACAGATACCTGGCCCAGTCTAACACTGTTCCAAGTTCCTGCAGCCCCCCAGCCAGGGGCTGGGGGGGCCATAGTCCCCAGCGGGACTCCTGCCCCTTCTCCTTGTGGCTTTACAATACCCCAGAGGGCTGTGCAGCCCTTCAGGAGAACCTCGACAGGTTGGAGAGATGGGCAGAGAAGAACTCTCTGAAGTTCAACAAAGGCATGAGCATCAGGAACAGCATTGCCAGCAGGTTGAGGGAGGTGGTCCTGCCTCTCTACTCAGCCCCGTGAGGCCATGTTCTGGAATACTGTGTCCAGTTCTGGGCTCCTCAGTACAAGAGAGATGTGGAGCTCTTGGAGTGGGTCCAGTAGAGGGCAATAAGGATGATTAAGGGACTGAAGCATCTCTCCTGTCAGGAAAGGCTGAGAGAGCTGGGCCTGTTCAGCCTCGAGATAACTGAGAGGGGATCTCATCAACGTATATAAGTATCTGAAGGGAGGGTGTCAAGAGGATGGAGCCAGGTTCTTCTCTGTAGTACCAAGCAATAGGACAAGAGGCAATGGTCAGAAACTGATGCACAGAAAATATCACCTAAAAGGTAAGTACTCACAAAATCTTCTGAAGAAGCTTCTGAGCAGCTCTTTTACATACCTGGACTATACAGGCAGGGTTAGCTCCAGAAGCCTTTAGAGGCCATCTCTTTTCATGAAGAGAACAAAGGTAATCACAGGCCAAGGCAAAACCCACAATAAAAAATGAGGCACGCTGTGCCTGATCATCACCAGGCTATTAATTTCTCGGCCACTGCAAATGCCATCTTTCTCAGTAGTTATTTAGAAAGCTAGAACAACACTCTTGCTCTGATTGTTGTTTCCCTGCATATTTTGTGCTGTCATACAAACTATCATTTTTATTTCAGTTTCTCTCAAAAGTGTGTGATAAGGTACATCTACCATCTAAACAAAATTCTAGGTGAAATATTTTTTTGCTTTAGTTTTTTTCTGTAAACTACCATTGACGTAAGAAACATAATGACTTAAACATCAGACTTAAGACAGCCTCATAGAAGTTAGAAATAATCTTTCTTGGTCAGTAAACTCACTAAAATGATTTGGTATATCTCAGACATTATTCATATAAAGTAATTTTTAGTGTCACTACTCTAACAATTAAAAAAAAATAGCATGTTTAAGTCCCAGAAAAAAACAACATCAGATTCTATTAATTTCAATGTACATTTTAATCTATTTTCATTGCTCTAATAAATACAATGTATCAAGATGCTTCTTTTATTTACCCATTTTAGTAGTTTTGATGTTGATTCTCTTTCTTTACACCATTAGTACACTTCTGAAATTCGTATTTAATAGAAACATAAACATTTTTATTTTGAACACAAGCTTTTGAAATATTCATTATCAACCTGCTGGCAAATTTGAATTCATTTTATATTGGTATAATCTGAAAAGTTTTGTTCCTTATAATTAACATATTTATTATTAATAATTGAGACTAAATCTATTTTTGTTTTTATTGAGGATTAATTATTTCCATTTGTTATAATGTTTTAAAGATTGCTTTTACCTAATATCTATTGCATTTAAAAAATAGTTTTCCATCAAAAAAGTACATCAGCCAGGTATTGGTACTGTCTACCTGCACAGTCTGGTCCATTACAGTGCACAGTTTGTGACTGTTCAAGTACCGAAATAGGTAACTTCATATTTACAGAGAAAATCATGGTTATCTATATCATCAGAAATTGTTGCTTGCTGTTGCTTAACCAGGTTCCACTCCCTGTACAACTATGCTTGTAATCTGCCTCCTGAAAAAGAAAGACACCTATTAAACCCATACTTTCTTTTGTGTATTTAAACATGCATCAAGATCAATGTCTGGAGAACTCTTGCCAAGTGCTGGAAATAAATCTCCACATTTATTGAAGAGCTGTCTTAAAAAGGAAAGAGAACCTCTAGGCACTGGAATTTGAATTTCCCTGAGTTCCTGTGGGTAAGGCAAAATTCTTTAAAAATTAGATTAATTTATCAATTGAACAAGTTACAATGGATGTGGTGGATTTTGCTGTACCAGGTTGCTCAAAGCCCCACCCAACCTGTCCTTAAACAGTTCTAGGGATGGGGTATTCACAACCTCTCTGGCCAACCTGTTCTAGTGGCTCACCTACCTGACATTAAAGAATTTAATAGAAAGAATTAAAGAATATTAAAGAGTTTCCATAGTTTCCAGGATGATCCATTCCATAATTTTACCAGGCACAGAGGTGAGGTTGACTTGTGGGTAATTCTCAGGGTTCTCCTTTTCACCCTCTTTTAAATAGATGTGATGTTTCCGTTTATCCAGTCACTGGGTAGTTCACCTGACTGTCATGACTTTCAAATATTTTGGAAAATAGCTTAGTGACTACCTATGCCAATTTCTTTAGGACCCTGGACTGCCTCTCAGTGGATCCCATGGACTTTGTATGGTCAGGTGTCTCAGATAGTCACGAGTCTGATCTTTCCCTATGACGTGGGATTTCGTTCCCCTAGTCCTTGCCTTGAGATTCAGGGACATGAGAGATATGGGAAGTGCAATTGCCAGTGAAAACCGGGGAAGAAAGTTGCCAGCCTTCTCCATGTCAATTGCCACATGATTTCCTGTCTCATTTATTAATGGGGTAGAATTTCTCTTGCTCTCCTTTTCTGATTAAGATAATTTTGGAAGCCCTTGTTATTATTCAGCAAAAAGCTTGACAAATTCTTCCCAAGACACGTGTTCCTGCTTCCATTGTATATACATTTTCCTTGTGTTTCAGTTTGACCAGGAGGACCTTACTCAGGCATGTCGATGTCTTGTGTTCGCTGCCTGATTTCCTGCAAATGGGAAGTGGGAGCTCTTTTACTCTAAGAAAAATAAAACTGTCTTCTGCTTCTTCATTCCTGAGGGCAATTTCCTGAGGGCTACAAGCTACTACTTCCTTAAAGAACTGAAAGTTTGCTCCTTGAAATTTTAAGATCTTGACTTTACTTTTTGCCTGGCCTGTATCCCTTGAGATCATATTTTTTTCACCAGGGCATGATCACTGCAGCTCCAGCTACCATGAATATGGATCTCTCTTTTAAGTTCCTCTGAGTTGGTGAGCAACAGCTCCAGCAAAACATCTCATCTGGTTGGGCTTTTCAGGATTAGGTTATCCTCAATGTTCTCCAAGAGACTCTTAGACTGCTTGCAGCTTGGTGTGACAATTTTTCAGCAGATGCCAAATATTGGACCTAGTACAGAATCAAGGTGTTAAATTCTGTAGCATGTCACTTTAGAGTTAAAGAGGATTTTCAGATTCTTCTCATCTAAACCCAAAGATATGAGAACCTCTTAACCATATATTCTCAGCTATTCCAGTTTAATATCTTATATTTAAACTGCAGTAACACTAATCATATTTAAACAAGATGGCAAAGATCAGGAGAGGAGAGATGCATTCAAGAAATGTTCAACTGTCCCTGTAAACCCAGTCAAAAATAATTACTTGTATAGTCAACAACTTATAGACAACTGCCAGAACTGTGGAAATATATAATCTTTCCATGACCTTGGCAATATTCAACATGAGTCCAGAAAGTTTTAATATGTCTCTGACAATATTAGCTCCAGTGTGAATTAGGTTATTAGCCTCCTTAATTTGTATCATTATCAACTGTTTACAAGGCCTGTGTTTTTTAAGATGGTTGATCAAAAAAACTTTTTTAACAAACATTTTGCAGTTGAATCACAGCAAACCCAAATGCTGTTGTCTTATTTCAAATTTTGTTATGGAAAATTACGCAATTTGTCACTTCAATGATTTACTCTGAATTAGAGTACTGAATTGCTCTACCTGAATGATATGCTTCACCTTCAGCATCCTTTTCTACAAGTCCATTAATATCAGTGTGTCTAAAAGCATCCATTTAGCACATTTACATCCCTGTGCATCCCTGCACAGATTGTAACTCAAGAAACAAAAACATCACCTCTTTCCAATTGTCCTGTCCCTCTGTAAGCCTTTTCCTGGGGTTTAGAATAACGCCAAACCAGAGGTGCCAAGTGCTGAGATGTGTTCCTCACTGAAATATAAACTTCTTTTCTGGAAATAAGCTAAAAGCAAAATATAATAATCATTAGCTTGTTGAGGTTACCCAAAATGTTGTCAGGGAAGGCCATGTTTGCATGTATATCCCTTGTCAGAAATGTATAGTCTCTTGAGAGAGAAGCTGGTCTCTGAATGAGTAATAATGACTCAAACATAAACTTTTAATGAGCCTTTAAGCATTTTTAAGATAAAAAATATCAGGACTCGAAAGTGAAATTTACCACTTAGAAAGTGAGTTTAAAAAGAAGCTTCTGAGGTGGCCATGCAAATTTGGGGTGTTGTTTTGGGTTTTTTCCTTTTAGATTCTTCTTCCTTCTAGATTCTGGAGGAAAAACATTGCCTTCTAGTAAGCCCTGAAGAGGTTAATATATTCAGTTTGAATAAAACAAAAAGCATAGCAACATTTGACACACACAAGGATATAGGAGCACATTAAGTGAATGCAAAGAACTGGCAGCTGAAAGGCAACAGTTGCATAATTTTACCAGAGTAATGAGAAGTGTGCTACATATTAATAAATATGTGACCTTTTTATCTTGATTATTTAAAAATCATGTTATTTAAAAAATGAATAAACAAATGCTTTATTTATCCTTACATAAAGCCATATTTTTACTTGATGGACTATGTAGAATGATTTCTGTATTGGTAAAGTGGAATGCAGCTGTACAGGTCATTGTAGCATTTATCACATCAGTCTGTTCCTTTTGTCATTTTAGAAAATCTCACATCAGAACAATCATCTCTTAAACTAAAGCTGAAACTGAAACAAGGATATGTAAGTGTATTCATTTATATATAATGAAATTTTAAATTCCTAAAAGACAAATATGATTAAAATTAAAGAAGAAATAAGAGAAAAGCCATGCAAGTAAGATTCCATTTAAGTTTGTTATGTACTTTAATGAGACACAATTTCTTATTTAAAGTTGTAAAGATTTGATTAATGTTTTATTATCCCCATCATTAATAATCATAACTGCAACTTCAGAGGATTTGTATTTAAAAAAATAGGCAGTTAGTTGAAATTGTGAAACAGAAAAGTGTTCTGCAATCTCTCTGTTTTATTTCTGTTCTATTATTAATTATTTATCAAATGCTAAAACCTCTGTATCAGTTCAATATAAGTAATTTACGTTATGAAATAAATGCTGATGGACAGTTAACCTAATGTAACCTAAATTACTCAGCTTATTAAAAGATAATTTATCAATTTTCCAGCAAGAGCTGAATTGACCGAGGAAGCCACAGCTCAAATCCTTGAGTCCTTCTGTGTCTCACAGAGTTGAAAACCCAAGCTGCTCAGGAGTCTTGTGAGACTGCAAAGAGCAGTGTTGCGAGCCAGCTGTCCAGGCACGTGGAAGAGGACACTCTTGAGGTTCTCTGTCCCTGCCAGGGACTCTGAGTCCAGAGGCACAGGGAGAGCAGTGCTGCTCAGGTAGGGAGAGCTAACTATTAAGAGTTAAGCACAGTGGACTGATGTGTTACATGGAGCAGTTTGGTAAATTCTGCTTATTGAGGAAACTGTAGTTATGCTACTCGAATCTATTGATAACATGCCGTAGGCTTTCTTATCCCCAGTTTCTCATTTGACAAATTGAGAGACAAAACCACCTCCTCCTAGTTGCATATTTCTCTGTAATAACTACCCTGTAAAGCATCACAGTTGGTTTTCATAAAGGATATAATTTATACAGCCAAAATGGCAAATACAACAGTTAAAAGTTGTGGTACACCATTAAACTTTCCAGAGTTTTAAATAGCTATAATAAGTAACCTAAACAAATGCATCTCTCTTCACCCACAGACCTAAAAGCTTGGGTTCTTGAATGGGAGATAGGGAAATGGCCTCCCTTTCCTCATACCAATGATTTGGCAAGATAATGGTTTTTTTCTGGCATACTACCAATCAGATACCTCAACTCAAAGTAAAACCATGATTGAATGATGTAGGTCTCAGGAAATATCATGCTGTGATAAAGCAAAAGGCATATGGGATATGTAGCAGTTAGGAATAAACAGTCCATGTGTAAATCATGCCAATAATCCTTTCTTCTTCCCTCCCTCCCCCCCCCATTTATTATTTCTATAGCTGCTGTTACCGTCTGCATTCCAGTCACTTCTACTGGCTCCAGTGAAAGTTGAGCCTCCATCGTAACACACACTCTGCAGACTCAGCTACTATCCTACTATCCTGTGGCACTTTCAACTATATAGAGAAGATAAGCAAAGTGTGTGATAAATGACTTAGTGTTCCTGTCATCAATGAGCAGCCAAGGCCCTGAAAAATCAAGTGACTTGCTGAACTGCGCAACGGAAGTCTGTGGTAAAGACAGCAAGTCACCACAGCCATCTCATGTTGCACTTCTGTGGTCTGAAGTCCAGGATCGTTTTTGCCTGGTTTGGGCACTTTTACCATCTGTTCTCAAGGACAAAAGCTTGCTTATGCAGAGAACTGATATGGTGTAAAGTCTGAGCAGGATGTAAAGAAATAACCATTTCTTTAAAAAATCCAATGAAAAAGCTATCAGGATTTAGAATGGAGTTATTTTCCTGATAGCTTAGTAAGCTCTATAGGTCTTTGAACATAGTGGAGGACTAGAAAAAAAATATAAAAAATCTGCAAAAGTCTGAGGCAGGAATTTCAAAAAAATAAGAGCAGTCTGTAGGACATTACTATGCTGATTTGCTCTCTATCGGTAGTGGCATAAGTATCACACCTCTTAATTCCACTGCTAACAAAATTACCAAAACTTACATGCAAGATGCATACAGCACAAGGAGAAAGTTCACAGAGCTCTTATCAGAAAGGACACCTTCCCTGACTGAAATAATCACCTAGCTAATCTACCATCATAAATCACAACATATTCCTATTCCTTGGTCTTCATTAGAGGTCATCTTCAAGTATCTGGCACTACATCATGTGGTGAGCACTTTGGTTTCCTTTTGAACAAGTAGGCACGTTAACACTATATTTTGTTTATATCTTGAGTTTAGTTTCTGTATTTGAGTTCATTCTCTTCAGTACATATTCAAATGATAGACAATCCATCATTCTTAAGCTGATCCATTCATGACTATTGTATCAAGAAAGCATTGTGTACTCTGAACAGGTTAATTGGTTGGTAGCTTAATCTAAGTTGGAGTCTGTTGCAGATAATAAGCATTTTTTTAACCAGTGGCATTATACATAGAACTATTTCATTCATTTATGTGCTTCTCTTTCTCTTTTTCATTTCAGAATGCTATTGTATTCTGCTTTTATTTGCATGGGTTTCTGTAAGAATGTTGCTATTAACTTATTAGATTGGAAATAGGTTGAAGTGCTTGCTAAATACTGCCTGTTTTCTTTCCACTGAATTCTCTGCATGCAATTTGGAATTCTGTTTCTAATAAGATTATAAAGGAAATAATGAAAACCGGTAGGATTGTTCAGCTAGCAAGTTTCCTTGGTGATTAATGAGCTAAATAATAATGTTTCTCTCTATGGTCAAATTTTGCCTCCAGCTTCACCAGTGAGAAGCCAGAAGTAACTCCCTTGATGCCAATCATAAAATGGTTTGGAGCTATTCTAGATTCACTATGGTAGATTTAGTTACTGTGGTATAAATGATCAGAGAATTTGATTTCACATGTGTCAATAGTTTAAGGCTTGTTTGTGGTTTGTGGGTCCTTCTTCAGAAAATTATATACTTGTATGGCCTTTAAAATTATACAGCCAAGAACCTTCCAAGTAGGAGCAAGGAAGTCTCACTTTAATCATATGGCACAAAAAGAGAAGAAAAAGATGAGAGACTGATTGCGAGTCAGGCTTACACATATGAGAAATGGTGAGTGATAATGGTTTCAATCTACCATCCTCCCTCTGGCTGCAGGGTTCCTTTCAGACTGATGCATGTAACACACTCGGTAATGTTTTCCCGCATAGTGTCTTACAGTTTATACAGAGTCTGGATAGAGCATCTACTGAGTAAGTTGGAAAGAAATGGAAATTGTACACCATTCCTCTTTTAGACTCAGCAAAACAGAGTAATTTTTGCCACTGGATGCAAAGAGCAGATCTAGAACAAGTTATGGGTAGCATATGTTTCAACATAGCAACTCTTCCCTACATAGATCAAGCAATTAAGTTTATATAATCATGTGCCATCTGCCTAGAGCTCTATTTTCAGATTATCAGGTAAGCCTGCCTAAGGTCCCCCTTGTTCTCCCAAAGAAAGCTTAATGAGGAATGCACATCTATTTCCATTTACCTCTTCCCTAGAGCTTGGCAGTGTAGAGAGTTGGTTGGTACTAAGAAAGGTGGATAAGAATGTCGGTAGTTTCTGGTGCATCAGAAAGAAGGGTGAAATCAAATAAGCAGACTAAAGTTCTACAGACCTCAAAGACACCAAAAAGCAACCTTTGCTACTCTTCAGCTTTTTTCCATAGTAAAGACAGACATTTCAAAGACATTTCCACATAATTTTCTTTTAGAAGTATACAGAAGCAAACCAAAATCATGAAACTCAACATCTCTCTAACCTTCTTCATACTTTCCATTTTAATTTTGATTCAGAAATCCAGATCTTTTTTTTTACCTTTCTTGAGGACAGAAGGAGCAGAGGCTACATCTTCTCTGTAACTCAGGCATAGTTTTGAACAATGAACCACAGAAGAAAGTCTTTCTACTAGGTGATGGATTTTTTTTCTACACCTATCTTTTGTTGCCATGTGTGGAGATGGAGGATTGACAGCATGCTTTTCTTCTCTTAAGCGTGCACTCTCAGCCAAGGCCTTGATTAGCACATTTCTGCCAAAAAATGGGCTGTAATTACCTTTTAATAATCAGAATGTTTTTGCTATAACAGCATGAGATTTAGACACTTGAGGTATTTTAAAAGCTCTATTCAGGAGCTCAGTACCACCTATTACATTTGGGGCAAATAAAGCTTTTAGAATAATGTTTGGAAAAGCAGCACCCTGTAAATATAAGGTGGTGTTGCACCATATGGAGACTGGCTTTATGACATATGGTTTGAATTAACAACTTTAAAACTGTTAGGATCAGTTTTTCTTTCACTGAAGGGAAAAAAAAACACAACCCACGAGATACATACAGTTAAGTAAGCTTCAGTAGCGGATACAGACCCAGCTTGTGCCAACATGTGCTAATTCAGTTAAAATACTACTTAGGCTATATGAGTTGGTTTGGGGGTTTTGTTGTTTTTTTTTAAGCAACCAGTACTTCCAGCTGTAAATGTGTTTTATTACTGTTAGTACAAGGACCATCGTCACCACTACCGTCATTATGATTGTGGTCCTCATTAAAATAAATTATTTGCCTTGGTTTTGTATTAAAGCTATTTGAAAAGATAGGGCTGAACAACAGATGAAAACAAAGGATGGAAGCGGGTCTTCTGATCTCACCTAATTGAATCTTTGTTGGCTGAATTGATCTGAAAAAAGTTCAAAGATCTGGGATCCATATTACGAAAACATTGCTTGATTTAATCAAAACACACTTTGAAGTGCCATGCTTGCAGACCACCTGTAGCTTTGAAATCTGAAGTCATGGGAAAGCTTCCCTGATGGTCCACAGATATGATATGTCTGAGAAAAATAAAAACAGAAAAGATAGAGTTCCTTGTAAATCTCTTTTATATCAAGGGTTTTCTTAAGCCATTTACCCTTGTCTATGCTAAGTCACCTGGAGCAGCAAGCAAAGCACTCAGCATAAGGAAGTGCATATCTTTTTCAGTTTTGTTTCACAACTTTCATTGTTGCTGCATTTACAGACAGTTCCAAAGACAAAATAGCCATGAGGTTGTCCTTGCTCTCAAATAAGTATAGCAATACTGTGAGAGCTTCATTTCTCAGGACTCATCCTGCATCTGAGAAAGTTCAGCTCTGCACTGAAACAAGAAACAACCATGGTGCATGCTAAAATAGTGGCAACAGAATAAGGAAAAGAAAAAGAAAGAATCAAAATAAAACGTGCAGGGCCAGAACCTCCTCCATGCATGCAGGTTATTGGCACAATGGAGCTGCAACATAGAATGCTATGATGGACATGAATGACATGATGGATCCTGTCTCCTTAGCTTCAAAAATGTAAAATTTCAGACCTTCATGTCCTGGATAAGCATTCTTCAATACTATTTTCCAAGGAATTTCTATCTGGAAAACAAACATAGTAGGGACATGACTGATATGTTCTACTTTTCAGCAGTCATCAAGCATTATGTCTTCCCTTTGGAATCATAGCCATCCAGTTTTATTTAGTGATACTCAGAAGTTGCTAAGGACTGGCAAAAACCATCACAGGATCACTGACTAACTCAACCTGTGTTCACAGAGAGCCTGGGCCAATTTTTCTTCTCAATGATTCAGATCTGAGAGAGGAAAAACAGCAAACAAACTGAAAGTTATGTGAGAACAGATTAAGCTTGCTCAGTTATAGTTTATACCTAATTTTCTGGTAATGGAACTGTGGGAGTACAATCTTGCAGAACTACCTGGTAATTGATAATTCATTTCTATATTTTTCTGATAATTCCTCATAACATCCAGATTCCCCCTGTCTCCCCCCTCTTGCAATCAATTTCTCAATTCCACACATCCGTTTCCAAAATCTCATGTTCCAGTTAAAAAAAAAAAAAAGAAAAAAGAGGTCTTCCAAATCTGGTTAGGTTTTTCAGCTACACACTGTCATTTAAAGGAATCCTTATTTGGTTTAGAAAATCCTATCATAGTGCATCCTAATGCTGTACTGCAGCTCCCAACTGCTTAGAAGAAAAGGGACAAAAGCCCAGTATGTTGGTCTACCTGAGAGACTCACAGCACATGAATTACTGGGATGTCCAAAGCAAAGACCTGTGCTCCCCCTTACTGTGTAGATTATATATTTATTGCAATGTAAATGGTCAATTCTCATTGTATGTAAGCTTAGTCTCTCTCTCTCTCTGGAACTTCTCAAAACAGGGTGCCAAGGGCAGAACTCTTATTTTTGAGTAACATCATCAAATCAAAATTCTTTTCCTAACAAAAGAGAATAAAAACATACTAGTCTTTGTATGCTGCTTTAGTGAAAATGCATGGCAGAATTCTGTGTGAATGCAAAATGTTGAGAAACATCAGGGAACAATCCATACATATGCCAACTATAATGGGAACAGTGTGTGGTCCACTGATTGTCTATCACAACATATTGAGTCATTTTCAAAAAAACCATTGACACCTTATCTCATTCTACAAAATCCAGTATTATACCCCAGAAGAAACTAAGGTGTATAAGGTAGAATATGTGCATGTGTTGTCGTGTAATAAACACATATATTGTATAAAGGCAATGTAAAAGAACAGAAATGTTAAAAATAATTATTATTATTTCACAAGATCATTGGAATCTTTGTCTTTCATATTCTTCTTCTAATTGTAATATAAAGCCCCATATTTAAAACAACACAAGCATAATAGTTCTACATGGAAACACATATTGGATACCTGAAATATGGTGACTGAAGCAAATAAGGATTTGTCTTGTGCATCTACCTAATTACATGTGAAAAAACTGAGGTTTTGCCATTTCAGAAGAAATGTGGCCCTTAATCTCCTGTCCTAGAATGTACATAAAATATGTCTGCATCTGGCTCTTACGTATGTGTCCTGCATGTCACAGTCAACACCTGCATTTCGAAGTTGTCAAGCAATGCTAAAAATTTCACATACAATAGGTTTATTAAATATATAGAAATCATATGTGAGATTTCCTGTATAAATGTGCAGAGAGACAGATAGATGGATAATTTTGACAAATTAAATTCTCTTCCCTTGCTGATAACACATCTGCCAGCAAGTGTGCTTTGTGACAGACATTTGCCCTTCTCTACATCAATATCTGATAGTTAGGCAGAAAAGAGGCATCACTATATTAACATATCTATTTCTCTGTCTTTCCTCTACAGGTGTTAAATAATTAGTACTGGTTGAATTATTCATTGCAAATAATATTCATTGTGAATTTAGCCAGTTTATTTTTTTTATTTTGCTTACAAATGATTCAAGAGGCAACCCTGAATTCTGCAAATATATTCATTGCTTATAAGTATTCAACAAATACTTGGACAAACCTCTTTTGACCTAGAAAAACACTGGTTCATAAATCAATTTCTTCAGAAAATGATAACGTATGAATTGCCATCATGAGCAGATGTCATAGTTTTTCTTTTCTTGTTGGTAGACTTTATTAAAAAAAAAAAACAAGTAAGTGAAAAGTGCTAACAAACAAATAATCTACACCTGGAGTAAGTTTTCTGGCTCATAACCATTTATGAGCCTTTTGAGATTAGCAAATAGAAATTACAGAGAAGGAAGAAACTTGCTAGAATATGCTAGTGAATATATTTTTTATTTTGCACTGCCAGTGTGTAATTTTCTATGTCTAACCAAGTGTATTTGGAGAACAGGAATTGTGACTGTCTCTGCATTTGTGGTTAGAGAGTCCCAATCTGGAATGCAGCTATATCACAAGCAGTAAGTATAATGATAATCTAAAAGAATAGCATAGGCAAAGCTTCATAGTAGACCTGATTACAACTAACTGGGATAAGGATGGTTACTTACAAATGCATGTTCTCTCCAGCGTTCTGGATTGGAATTCTGTATTCATCATTTAGGTTGAGAATTAAATTTCTCCGTAAGCAGTATAAGTTTTCCACCCGTGTATGTGTATACAGATATACATGTCACCTATCATTTTAAGTTAGACAGAAATCTCAGAAACTTTAAGCTGCAAGAAACTTTAGCAAAATAAAAGAAATGAAAATGTGCTTATAAGACAACTTTAGAATAGAGGTTACTGTTCGGTCACTTACAAGTGAGGTATCCTTAAAGACTTTATTAAAAAGAAATTTTTCTCTTATCCAGAGTTCCTAAGCAGATAGAAATCAAGGGCTGTATACCAAGGAAGGCCATGTACAATTTCTTCTAATAAAAAAAAAAAATGAAGAAGTGGATCTTAAAATATCTGCCAGTCACTCAGCATTATATTCATGCAGCACAGGAGGACAAATTATGACAAGGTCTGTTGCACTCCAGCTCCTTCTGTCCTTATGCATTTTTTTGAAGACTTCACACTCTCCCTTACATATGAAAAGGGGAAAATTCTGCTGACTTTTTATCACTACAGATGAGTAGAAATTCTGCTCAGTTCTGGACATCCTGCAGGTTAACCCCTGCTGAGTCTATTTGCTGAGTCTTGGGAAGGTTACTAGAGCAGAAATATCACCTACCCTTCCATACAGAGTGACTACATGGCTTGAAAAAGTTGGCATTTCAAGATTACACAATATTGAGTTCTATGTGCAACGTTCCAACTATGTAAATTTCTCACATATTATAAAATGAATATAATCAGGTGGTCTAATGTCAGCCAGCTTCTACAGATAATTGCTTTTCTGAAAGAAAAAGAAAAGAATAATGTTGCAATATTCGGCACAATGTTATTTATCATTTTCAGCTAGACCAGTTTTATTTTGAGGTCCTGTATTAAAGATTTCTGTATTAGAAATATTGCTAAATTACTTTCTTTTTAAAGTCATCTTAACTTTTGGTGAGGTCTTTGGTCTTTCTGCTTATGAAGAGCAATATGGCAACAGAAACACTGTAGATCCTTTGAGCCTGCAGACATCAGTATTTACTATACTGAGATATATGTTATTACCCTGAAACACAAACGTGGAATTAACCTCACACCTCTTTCCAGCTGCAATGGATATTGATACAAAATCCCTGTGAACTATGGAATGGGTTCCAATAAACAAAAGGACCTGAACATCAAAGTACAAATGTGACACTTCAACCAACATCGTTATGGCAAATTTAGGTTCAACATGACAAGATCTGATGATCCACATAATTTCCCTGATTAGGACAGCATCAAGAATTCAACTGGTAAGAAAACAACACCTCAAAATTCTCCCTATGCAACTCCTTTAGACAGGAGAGGAAGCTTCTCTCAATACACAGAGGGGGAAAAAATATAATGAGGCAATTCATTCACATCCAGTGTTTGATTGTGCCCGCTTGTTTGTCTTGGACAGCACAAATTCTGCACTGTCACTTAAGGTACTAGCTACTTATTGCCATTGGGCTAAAAATGGCTTCGTTACTGATGTATATATGAATGAGCTTGCATAATTCCTCATTTTTTAAGGAAGCAGGTGAATAGTCAGGCTGCAGTATTGCACTCTATTTAGTTTGCCCTAACTTGAGCCAGGATGATTTTTCCTGTTCCTCTAATCATTTTCTTTTTTGGGCCAGGCGTTTCCTCTATTTTCTACATGGTGATAATAAAAATGGCTGAATGACCTAGTCTTATTTTGGACTTAGTTTTCTCCAGATTCAGGGAATGAAAATTTACATGAAGGGAGGCTGTGAAGATTGGGCTGTCATTTTCAGCAACACCTGCACTAGATAGAACAGAATGTGAAACTGCATCCTTGCGTTTTGGGTGCTTATAGATGTCAGAATAGACCGAAAGACATATCAAGTGAAATGCCTTTACTCAGTTCAGAAATTAGTTTCCAAGAGCTCAATTTCATAATTTCTAGCTCACTCCTAATGAAAGGATATAATTGTGTATAACATGACTGTTTGGAACCGAAATTAAGAATCTGACATAGGCAGCTGCAAGCTGAGGCCTTCAGTCAAGTGTTGGTAGAAGCAGGTTGAGACCAGCAGCAGCATGATATTAGTTAATTAATACCTCACTTTGTCACACTTCCATAGGCTTCATCCTGACACATCACATGTTGTCAGGCCTGTGGAGTTGAACCTCAACTGTGCCTCTGGTTCAAGACATCTTGGTGGTGTTTCCCCTAAAGTAAGGAGCAGCAATGCCGTCTACAGCTGTGCTTAAGCTGTGTTAAGATTAAGGACTGTCCATCTTGTAATTGGAGCTCATTCCTATGTATTCAATGTAGTTTTTTCTTTCCGGTTCTTTGATCTCACCAGGTCCCATCAAATGTTCAACCTCAGATGACACATTTTGCCATTAGTCTCAGAACCCTGGAACACTTCTTAAAACCTTCAAAAATTTCTGCCATAAAGATTGTTTTACTTTTGACTAGTTAATTACTTCAAAACTGGAGACAAGACTTATGTTTATTGCACTGAGACAGGTTTTTGAATCAATTTCTGTTGAGCTGAGGCCAGAATTTATTTTTTTATTTTTCCCTTGTGATTGCTTTACACGATGAAGCTGTATGTAGTCTTGTTGTTTGCAAGAGCTCAGCAATATTCTATTTTTCTGACTACACAATATTCAGTCCTGTCCTGCACATGAGGGCTTGAAGGGTGATACTTCTGCAATAGTGTAATTTATACTTGAGCTCCGAGTTTAGCTTATCTCAAGGCATGGCATCTGCAAAGCAGATATGAAATCCTATGGCACAACAGACCAATTTACCCTCCCTCTAAGTTTCATGTGTATTTCTTATCTTGCATATGGGTTTTTTAGGTGTTTGTTTTTCCTTTTTCTTCAGAAAAATGGCAAAAGTAAAATTTCACCTTCATATGAGAGATTTCATATTTTGTATCTCTGTGTCCTTGGGCATTTTATGAAGCTATTTTCTTTTTCCATATTATCCTAATGAGCAAACTCTAGTTCTTTATAAGAAAAATATAAAGGGAAAAATGTTTGCTTCCACCACTGGCTTTAAATATTCACCACTGGAAACAGCATCTTTGTACTAAACCTGGTAGTTGAGGCTTAATCTAAAGTGCTTTATATTAGTAATTGCTGTCACCCTGAAACACAGACTTCCTATAAACTCTTAGAATTACTTTACTGCTTTTATTCATAGGCACATATATGTATTGTCTGAACCATATTAATGATTATCCAATTCATTGCAATGGAAGATTACCTAAACCCACCAAGTTTGGCAGAGGTGTTAGAGCTGAGCTGCCTCCCTCTTGTCCATGTCAACTTGATTAGATCTCCTGGCAAAGGCAAGTAAGAACCAGATGAGAATTTATGGGACCATGACCAGAGTGCTAGAGATCAATATTGGGTTTGGGGTTTTTATTGATACTTTACAGATGTTGTCTAATCAAGATTGATTTGCAACCTAGTTGAGAATGCACCTTTTATAATTTCTCAACTATGAAGCAAACCGATGGACAAAGTTCTTCTTGTGTTCCAGTCCTGAGCCAGTAGCCTATTCTCTACATTGAAGAGCTTTTAGTTGTTTGAAGTGCGAAAGAGAATGTAGCTGTGATCTGTCTTCTTTTGCTTTAATAGATGTTTATATCATATAGTCAGTTAATAACTTCATGGCTGAATTACTGCTCATTTGCCTGCTATGCTTTTTCTTTAATTTTTATTTGGCTATACCTTACGCTATTTCTACATAGATACAAAATTACAGGGAAATATCCATCTAGTTATTCTACAAAATGGCCAGACCCAAGCCAATAACTTTTTATCGCTACGAAAAGCCTGCTGAAAATAGATCTAGCTATTTATTTTAGACATCTTAAAAGGCAGATTACCCTATTTGGACTCAGTTCATTGGGTTCATGAAATTCATATATAAATTGCAAGAGTGACACATCTATAACACTTCCCAAATGTCTAAAGTACTCAATCATTTCTATATCTGAGAAATAATGAAAAAAAATTAATAGAAATGGGAACTAATTGATATTTTTGGGGGGGAGACACAAATATTATGAGTCTTCTATGACAGTAAATAAATGTTTTAAAATGTTTTCAAAATATTTACAAAAATTATCTCAGCTTGAATTTCTTTTCTGATTACCTGAATCGTTTGAAACAATTCCAGGACCTTAGCTGTTGATGCTGAAAGTATAAACACGGTAAATTTTTAAATATACATTGTAGTCTACTTACTGACTTTTATTTTTTTATTTATCCTTTAAAATAAACATGGAAATTATTCCGCAGTAGAAAGCAATGACTATTTTGTATTTCACACAGAACTACTAGAGACTCCACACGTAATCTGCAGCACTGCACAGTTATACGATGAGTTTGCCAGCCTCTTACACACAGGATGCATGTGCTTTATTACACAACAAAAATACAGATGTGGTAGCCACAGCAGCAATTCATCATGTATTATTTCATAGTATGCATTATTATCATATGTACAGATAAATTTAATAAATATAAAAGTGCAAATGCTAGCTGCCAATACCCAGATCCTGAAAATGTCATTAACACACTTACTGCAGTTCTTTTAAAAAAAGGTTAAAAAAATATTTGATTATATGAAAAAAAAGGAAAATTAAATAAATTTAGCAAGTAAAAGAAAAAAAAGGCCAATTCTTTCAGTCAGATAGTAGTTGAAAAATATCTCCTACAATGAGAAGTCAAGCAGCTCAACGTACTCAATTTATCAAAAAGGCAGATAAGAAAGAATTGAACACTGTTTATAGAAAAACATAAACAATATTGGGGCTGGTGAGGGGCTTTTCAATCTAACTAATGGAGATATTAAAAGATATATTGGCAGGAAGATTATATTAGTTTCAGCCTTGAAATAAGACACAGTATCCTAGTGGAGAAGATACTTATGTACTTGAATGGCTTAATAGGTGTAAGTAGAGTCAACATTGCCTGGAATGTTTCAAAATTAAGTCTTTCAAAACGCTGGTGTTGAATAATATTTCCACAAGAAAATCTGCCTGAGCTTTCTGATGACATGGCTGTGTTTTCGCTCTTCTCACCTTTGGCACCTCTCAACAGACACCTGTGAAACTCTTCCTTCTTTCCCTTTTTTATAGATTGGGAAGATTTGCACTGCCATCAGGACAGTGCATTTTTTACTTTCCCTTATAACACAAACTACAAGGAAATCTCATGCTGGTAGGAACAAAAGCCTGGAAGGACTTGTCAGTTGGCCAGATATATTCCTATCCATAGGTTTGCTAGGATTGCTAGACTTGATATAAGGAAAGTATTTCTCTACAAATGGAAACTGAGGGGAGACCTCATCGCAGTTTAAAACTTCCTCGTGAGGGGAAGAAGAGGGGCACGCACTGATTTCTTCTCTGTGGTGACCAGTTAAAGGACCTAAGGGAATGGTCTGAAGTTGTGTCGGGGAGGTTTAGGTTGAATATTAGAAAAACATTCTTCACCCAGAGGGAGACTGGACACTGGAACAGGGTCCCCAGGGAAGTGGTCACAGCACCAAGCCTGACAGAGTTCAAGAAGCGTTTGGATGATACTCCCAAGCACACGGTGTGACTCTTGGGGATGGTCCTGTGCAGAGATAATGGTTGGACTTGGTGATCCTTGTGGGTCCCTTCCAACTCAGTGATTCTATGGTTCTGTGAAAGGTGTATTAGTTGCATTTATTTCTCTCTGCAACACAGAATATGGAATTCCCAGAGAACTTTCTTCAGATTGTTATGGGGTTTAGGATTTTAAATATATATGTCTACATGTAAGCTATTAGTTTCCTCTATACTTCCACCAACCTAGACAATTCATGGAGGCTAGGACATAGCTAAGCTGACAAATGTTAGTAGATGCCTCTTTAGAGATCTTCCTGGACACCTTCAAGAGTATGGACTAAATCCGCTTTTCTGTGGAAGCTTTTGTACTTAGCCCATATGCAGATAACATTATTTAGTTGTGAAGAGACTGGTATATCCCTGTCTTTGGTAGGAATGCACAAGTATAATGCATTTAATCATCTGACATCACAGGTCTCTGGGCACTGTGAGTACCCTGCTATCACCTGTTCTCTTCAGGAGACACAATTTCAGTGAAACTCAAGCTGTTGGACTCAGTGAAGGGACAGCTACTACTCTGTGAAACTTAATGGTGTGTAATGCATAAGAGAGAAGACTAAATGATCTCTTCCAGCTTAAATTGTTATTATGGTTGTTCAGCCTTGAAATGCAGGTTGGCAATACCCTCTTTTTGTCAGAGGATGTTGCTGCCTTGAAAAGAAAGTGGAATTATAATTCACGAAATGTTTCTTTTTACATTTGTTTGTTTAGAGATGCTGGCATTATGGTCCTGTCAGTGACATGGCTAGACACACCCTTTTTTGCTTTTCTAGAAACAAAAAGCTCCTCTTCAGTATAGGTTTCTCTAGAGGATTTATTAGCTCTGAAGCTTAGATTCAGTTTTCTCTTTGAGTGAGCTGTCGTAAAAGATGCTTGTTGAAAATATGCCCCAAGAAATTAATTGTCAGAGACAACCCCAGGGAGAACAAATGCTTCCAAAACTACTTAATGATACTTACCATCTATATAAATTTTTATGTTTTCTGAGCACAACCCAAACACTCACAATTAACATTAATTATATTGCCACTTGTAAAGTGATACCATTTCAGGGTGCAAAAGTTCATACAGCCTATTTTCCATGAAACTCTGAAGTGTGACGTTTGCAGGACTATAATGGAAGTGGGTTTTTTGATTCCCCAGACAACACAGCCACAATATCAAAATCAGTACATGAGTCAGCCCTCACCTTGAGTGTTTCTGTAGACCCTGTTAGCTTGTTAGCAACACATTGTCTCACTCACAAGGAGAGTCTGACCAAAAGCTTCTGAACACAGACATGCGCAATCATGCCCAAATCGCACTCTTGAGTGTTTCCCACTAAATACTGTACCCTTTTCACCTGACCTACCTGATTACTAGGTATATAAATAGGTATATAAATAGTCCAAAAATGCATATTTCATCAGCACTGAATAACATGAGAAACTTTAAATAATGTCTTTAAAAGGAAGAAAAATAGTAATGAAGTAGAAAGGAGAAAAAAAATTGAAGTGGGAGAAAGGAATGGAAGAAAAGGAAAGAGAGACCATGGTGTTGCATCTTTGGGTGACTAATAAGTGAAATTTTATTTGATATAAAACCAATATGAAGTCATCTTCAGGCACAAGGTATGTAACATAATGCCAGGCAAGGAGTGCTGACACACTTGGCCAGTAATTTTAATTACATGCAAAATTCAAAATTTGACCAAAGCACAGTTAAGAGCCTCTTTTTTTTTTTTCTTCTAAAACATTTGCTTTGCTAAATATCCTCAGTTACAGGAGAAGAGGGGAAGCAAATAAATCAGTGACACCAAATGTCTTTTTAGCATACTAAAAGCAGAATGAAGTCTGGAGCACGAATAAGGTTTGCTGTGACTTCAACCCCAAACATTCAGATGTTAGTCAGCCTTCTTGATCTGAAAGAACTGAGGAGGGAATTTAAATATTAAAGTTTTATTACAGAGTTCTTGCAGTACTATCTTTGTTCTGGCTGAAGCAAAGCTTATAAAAAAGATTAAATTGAACATTGTTTAAAAAAAATTAAACTGACAGATCTTTTGAGGTTTGGATTTTGTTTTAGGTAAAAGTGTGTGTGAATAATAACAGAAAATCATTTCAGGTAGGTCTATGCCTTCTCTGCTGTCTTTCTGTCAATGTGCTCCTGTACTGATTTTTTAAAATAAGTTTGCTCTCGGTGGTCACTGAGCAAAAGATATATACTATCAAGGAAAAGGGTGACAACATCTATATAGAAAGACCTATCAAACACACATGTTGAACAACCAAGAAAATCATCTGTGTCATTTGTGGTTGTCATAGAACTACTTGTCTCAAAAGCAGGTAAATCAGTTTCAAACAGAAGTGCAGTTTCAGAGTTACACTGTCCCTTTTATTTCTGTAGGGGGTTCATTCAGAAAGACATACTTTGCAGGACCAAGTGGAAAGAGCTTCGATTAGGGCTGTACAGTATGTGACTAAAGGATTTGTTAACCTTAGCGCTTCAAAGCACACTTGAAAATAAGATTCAAATGGGCTCTTTCTTTTGTGGTTCTGCAGTGATAAACGAGTTCTCCATGCACCAATGCTCATGATTACTACTTCTCCAACATTGTGACTCTGGATGAACATTAGATCAGTCTAAGTAATGTCCAGAACATTTCATCCATACTAAATAATGTATGTTGTGGCAGGCTTCTCCATTTTGCTAAGGAAAGAGCTGTGAGTCTAGTTATAGCTTTTCTGGGGTTGTGTCATCAATCTTCAGGTTCTTCACAGAACTTGCAGACTTTTTCCAGTAAAGAAAGGAATGGAAGGGGAAACCCAATAGGTAATCAGTTTTTTTCATTGTTTTTTGGGTTTAGGGGTTTTTTTCCCCTGTGTCTTTTTCTTTGGTTCTTTGTTTTTTTTGATTTTGGGTTTTTGTTGTTTGGGGTTTTTTTCAATCTAGATTTAAAGTTAGAGGATTTTTTCCTTTAGGGTTCACTCATAAGCTGTGTTTTAAAACCCGTACTTAAATCAGTGAAAGAAACTTACTTTCTAATGATTAACTTATACATTAGTGGAATAATTCATGACATGCCCTTAGGATCAATACTTTTATATACGCCTGTGGGTAACATCACTCACATGATTCATCTGAATATAGAAAGTGGAACTATTCAAATACTAAAAGTTATTCACAGCTGTAACTGCTTAACAAACTCTTTACTGTTCATATGAAAATGAAATTCCCATTTTGCCACTGGAGCCTACTGAATGCGTCATATTTAGGGTTCTTCTGATTGTGACAACAGTGCATCATTAGCAGTGTTTTCTGTAGTTATTCCTGTCTCTTTCTCAGCATAAGAAGGGCCTAATAAATTTTATTCTTCCTCAAGAGTGAACACATTCCACAATGGGTGGTGGAACTCTCTCTCCTTGAAGCTTTACATGAGCCATCCCTTTTGTCTTGTCTGTAACTGATATCTGTTGATCCTGATATTTCCTGATTGAGGGCTGTGTATCTTGATCTTCTTTTTCCTCTTCCAAGAGCTGCTTAAGTCTAATAATTTAGATCCAGAAAAAGTAACAAGCCTTTGCTGCTTGTTAATGATATAGCTCTAACAGTAATCTTCCCAGAAAAATAAATTTGTAGCAAACATATTGACAACATCTAGGAAACATTTCCATTATTTTTATATAGATATTAAATATATCTTGCATGCATCAGAATAATATGAATTTATTTCACTTTATGTAAATGACATCAGTCTTCCTACATTTGCAATAAAAGAAAGCTGTAAAATAGAAAATTACAAGTAACAATGGAGTTAAGATAACAATGACTGAACAATGAACAATGCTCCATCTAGACTTAAAAGAGTTTATTTATTTTTCCAAAAGCTACAGCCTATAAGAAAGGAATTGTACTTTCTAAAGGAGTAATTTAGATGAATTAGACCTATACACACTGGATTTTTACCTAGTCTTAGTCAACACACATGAGAAAAAGAGAGTAGATATAGCCATGGAAGAAGAAGAACTCACCTGTTAGGACAGAGGAGTTGGGAAGAGAGTTTGGAAATCTTTAAAAAGGTATTGTTAAGCCTCATAGCTCTGGATATTTTGTGATTTTATCCTTATTGTCTTGGAAACCTGAAAAAAATACACTGTGTTGGGTTGTTTGTGTGTGTGTGTGTGTGTGTGTTTGTGTGCGTGTAAGACACTATTTTAGCACTGCTGTGAAGTTACACTGTCCCAGAGGAAGCTGTGACAGGTGACCAAAATGGAGGGTGTTCTATTGTAACTAATGGTGTTGCTAAACAACCTTGGAAATGAAAATAGAGATTCTAGGAGAAGAACTGGTTCTACCAGTTGACAGTATAAGTCACATCTTGTTTGGGGACCAACTCCAAGCCATCTGGTAGCCCTCTTGGGCATTAAACTGTTCCACTCAGAAAACTGAAAAGCTGTTGATACTCCCTGTTTCCCTCAGACCTTCACTGTGACTCTCTCGGATAGCACTGTATGGGAATATAATATACAATCTTCCTCACCTCCTAAGAGTGCAATAGTTTGCCCCTCACACTAAATCATTTGTGCCAACTGAAGAACAGCAAACATGTTCACCAACTCCTCAGCAGGCAGAAAAATCCATGTTTTGATTCAGTTTTGGTTTCAGTGATCTTTGCTCCCACCTGGTGTCTCTAATTGACAGCTTCTTTGGAGTAGATGGAGACAGCAATACGATCCTAGGCTCTAGCTTTAAATTATATTTTTAAAACCTCATGAGGTTACAGAGGAGTGATTCACTTTGAAGGAAACTCTGATAAACCCTTTCAGCAGAAATGAGGGAAAGCATCTCAATAGAAATAGCACCCGTTATAACAGCAAGCAAGTAGGAGGATCACACACAGGGGACTGGCATGCAGCCACTGACAGGGCAGAGTACAGTAGGCTTACTCCATCCTCCATGCTACACAGCCCGTATTTAAAACATAGGCAAGTGAGAAATAGTGGTTTTGACTAAAAGTCTGAGAGCATTAGGCCATCAGTAGGTGCAATGTAATCTCACATCTTGGGTTTCAACACAGGCCAGCGTTGACAGGACAAGGCTTAGGTTTCTGTTACTTCTTGCATTTTGTCCCTCAGAAATCCCTGGCAGGACAATTTTGCTGCCAGAGCTGTGAAGCTCTGGGGCCAAACAGTGGGAGCAGATCTAGATCAAGCTAGATGAACAAACCCTACTTATAGACCAACACTTTCCTGTCTTTTTCTGGTGTACAGCTGCCTGAAGGAATCCACAAGGTACTACACTGATCTTCATTTCATTGAGGATTTTGGAAACTTGGTTTCATAGGAAGATATTATCTCACTACCAGTTTGTATTGGCTTCTTATATAAGTTGTGACTTCAATGAGATTTTTTCTGAATAAAGAGGGAGTCACATTGGCAAACTTATCTGAATGGAGGACTCTGTGTGTGTGTGTGTAGGATAGAGTCACTTACATAAGCAGAAGCATGGGGCAGGCATCCGGGGTCACACATATGGCAGATAAAGAGCAGAACAGCATGGAGATATTCTAGGGTGCTCATGGGGAATTAGAGGAATGATTCAAAATGTTCTTTTCCTGCCAAAGTTCAAAGGTAGCACAAATATCTATTTTTTATATCCACCATCCTCTATGGGTTCAGCAAGAAGCTGGAGGATGATACTTAAAACAGCAGCAGCTAAGCATGTGTCTGTTCTACAGTGTTTCATCCAAGGCTAAAAACGTCACCTTACACCTATTTTCTTCTCCTTCAGTACAACATTGCAGAGCAAAAGGATTAAGAATTTGGCTGTTCCTATCAGGAAACTTTGGATAAACATTAGTCCATAAGCCTCTGTTTCAAGCTTGAATATATATTCCTTTTAAACCTCGATTCCTGACCTTAAAGCAGCAGTTTTAAAGAAGGTTCCTCCTTTCCTAATAGATTTTGTTTAGTCATCCCCTTCCACTGGTCTTTTAAAAATTTGATCATCAAAGAACTGAGAATTCATTTTGCCTATGTAAGCACTGAAGACCAGATATACTTTCCATAAAACAGGGATTGCTGAAGCTTATTCACAAGGTTTTCCCTCCTTGCCCTGTCTTGCATCCAAAGACAGCAAATCTGCAGCACTCTATGTATGGTTTTTGTGAAACATTTTGGGATACTTCAAAAGTAAATTATTAATAAAAATGTAAATTATTATTATTGTAAAAACATGTTGGCCCACTGTGTCATGTAGCATTCTCAGAAGCAGCATTCTTTCACACTGGGATTTGAAAAACAGCAAATTTAGCTTGAATCAAATGACATTATGTATTTAGTAATTTATCAAAGCCACTTGGTAGAAATTGGGGAAAACATTGGTTAATCTTATTCATGCGGGAGTTTCCTGGTTATGCAGCAACACTCTTTCCTGTTTCTTAGTTCCCCTTTCCTCTCGAAGGCCTGTAATGCTTCAGCTTCCTATTGAGCTTGAAGCAACACCATTTTGATGCTACAATATATGAAGTAGCCAACAGAGAATGCTTAAACTTAGTGCAGGATATTCCAGGCACTGCAAGGAGCACCCAGGAAAAGTAAATAATATCCACAGCATGAGATATCTGCCTCACTGGGTCTGAATTTAGCTCCCCTCTGAGTCAGTGGATTAGCAATACTTTGGCCTGATAATTCAACTGTTAAGTGATTGTGGTGGGGCTTTGGAAGAGTATTGTTCGCCTTGAGAGAACAAAAGCACTCATTCAGGTTGCTGAGGGAGTTTGGGTCAAAATTTCAGGAATATGTGGCACACAGGTAACAATTTGTCACCTTGCAAAAGAGAAATTCTCTATTGTTGAATTACCTAATGGCGGTGTAGGCTGTTCATTATTAGGATAGCTTGGAATATAAACCAACTGCCTAGCGCAGATCCCACAGGGGTACATGGGACTCCTTCTTTTCACTTTGACAAGGTGACAATTTGGAGCAATGGCAAATCCTTACAAAAAATCTTCGTCTTTGTTTTATAGTGACGTGCCCTTCTAATGGCACACATACTTTTCTCCATTTTCCTTCAGCAGAGTCTGCATGAGACAGAATTTATCTATCTGTTCAGAAAATCCCACTTAAAGTAGCTATCTTTTTTTCTGTGGAAACTTGCGTTAGTCCATCTTCACCAGTACCAAGGAAATTCCTCTCACCTGCAGACCCCAGAAAATAGATTCATAATATTTTTCACTTCACTGGACATATGACACACCATACAGGAATTTATCATAGCAATGACACATCCTATTATAGAGGTTGACTCTTGAACCAGCTCACTTCCCATTTGTGCTCATATAGCATCTCACTAGCAACTGTAGCAATTGTGATATTAAGCAAGTATTTAGAGGTTTTGGATGTTTTTAGTGACACTTACCATCTGGAACAAGGTCAAGAGACAACATCAAACAGTCCTTTGATCCATTATAATAACTGAAAAGTGATTTTCACACCAGAACTGGTCCATGTGCCACAGTTTGAGAGTTCCAATTTAAAAAAAAATAACCCAAACAAATGACAATCGTTATTAAGTATTGTATTACAAAACAGAAGACTGCAAAGAATAAAAAACAAATAGCTGTGGTACTAGAAACATCCTAATGGGGTTGATAGATATTGCAGAAAAAGGTGCACTGCACTTTTCTTTACAGGCAACCAGAAGCCAAACAAGATATATTTGGCCTCTAAAATGACTCTAACAATCGATCACTAGCAATTGCACTGTATATGCAGTTTTTCTGCTACTTATCTCCCTATGACACAAAGCTGATTTTTTGCTTGAAAGTAGTTGCACTCCTCAGGAGAAAGAAAAGACAGTCTGCTACATGAGGATGCCATTACTTTGAGATTATTTGTTAGGATCATTAAGACATGATATTTTTAAAGTGAAGATGGCCTGCAAAGAAAGAACATGACTTTGGTACCCCTTATTTCATGTGTTCATGTGCATTGAGGGATAAATTTAGATACAAAAAATTCCAAGTGAAACATGTTCTGCTTTCTCTATCTCCATTCCCTAAAGGACCCACCAATGATAGAGCAACCTGATGTAAGGAGGATAAGAATATCCATACCAGGTCAGAGCCAAGACTCAACAAATCCAATACCCTGTCTCAAGCAGTGGACAATATTATTCCAGAAGGAGGACAATTTGTACTTCCATTCCAGACAGTTCAATGCAGAGTTAAAGCTGGACCCTGGGTTCATTGTGGGTAGATGAAGGTGCGTCATCTCCTGCAAAGAACAATGGACAAATGTTTTTGGAAATGCAAGGGGAAGCCAGTGAGTTCACTGAAAAAGTGGAGCAGAAGAGCATCACTATGCATATGGGTTGGTAAAGGGATACTTGGAGATGCCTACCACTCCAGCAAAGCACCAACTTGAGGACAAATCCCAGCATCCTCTGGAAATGCTGATTCTTTGCCAGAGTGACTTACTCTGAAATTAACAGGAAAGGGCTTACTTGGATGGAAGTTTGAGTGGTTGAGAATGAAATTTGACTGAGGACATCTACGTGATGTTTCCAGTCTCTGGAGTGGCAGATCAATACACCCCTGCTCAATCCTTACAAAGAAAAGAAGTAGAGAGTATGAAATGCTGAGGGAAGAGTGTCAGAACAGGATAAGCATCACAACTGAAGTCTAAATATTCTTCTAGACTTAAGCACTCAACTGCTCGCACATTTCCTAAGCTAAAGGTGATATTTTTATATCTGCTAGTCTTCAATGAATTTTTTTGTCCATAGATTTAGGAACCTAGGTCTAGGGAATGGAAGAGATAGTTAGGACTTAAAGTTTTCAGAAGCAGAAATTGTACTCTGTTCTTTTAAAAAATTAGAGTTAAAAGGGAATTAACAGGAGAAAGACAAAGGGCACAAATAATTTGGAACAGTATAAATACAGTTTTATGGTCCTTTTTTTCTAAAGATTTCAAAGCTTTGTTCAAAGGACAGTTATTATTGTTCCCAATGTACACACAGGCAAAATTAAGCCCAGAAATATACAGATACTGACCAGAAGTCATGTAGCTATCACATAATAGAACTGGACATTTATTTCAAAACTCAACAAGCGGGATTTTTTATCTTAATAATAAAGCTGCTAAACAAAAATCCCAGTATTTCAAAGCCTATGTTGACAGTGGGGAAGCCAGGAATGCTTCTCGGATCTGCCTGGGTCTAGCTCAATGCAAAAGTCAAACAGACACCATCACCACTTCATGCTTTCGTGGTTTTCATGCAAAGTAAGTCCAGACATGGGAAGCAGACACTCTGTTCTCTATCAGACCCAAGCCTGAACTTGAGACCAAGGTTGAGGAGTTTTTACTGGTTTGCAGTACAGGCACAGCTACAGGGAGCAAAACTAGTTTCAAATTCTCAGCAGTAAATATTCATGGCCAAAAAATAGGACAGGAAGGTAAACACTGAAATTGGTTGGTTGCTAAGATTTAATTGCAGTATTTTTAAATTAAATACTTATTTGAAAACTCATAAAGTAGTCCAGAATGAAATTTTTAGCCCTTGTTATATAAAATTTTCTATTTCTAGTCTTCCAGGAAGACTGACCCAAATTTGTAAAAAAAGACAGCTCGAAGTAAAACAAATTTTTTTTAAAAATTTTTGCTATGGTTTGGTTTTAACTACTAAAAAACTGTTTTGAAAGATCAGCTTGAGATTTTTTCCAGTGCTTGCGTTTGATCACCGAATCAAAAAACTCCATGTGATTGTTTGCCTAGTTATGTTAATGATTCCCAGCCCAATGAGCTAACCTTCAAATCACACAACCTTTTCATTAGTCTCTCAGAATGCTGCAAGACCTTGATTTCTTTTACCTCTGAAAGATTCTTTTAGCAGAACTTGAAAGAAAGAATTTTTATCTCAAATATGAACAAAATTTTAATTATTTTCTCAAGTACTTCCCTGTGCCATATACGTTATGGGAAATATCAGCAGGAAATCAATTTGACAGACACTAATGTTGCATGTTCACCAGTTCACCAATTACAACAGCCATGTTATCACAATGGGCATGAATGGTTCTGGCCCTGCAGTAAACCGAGGACACCTAATGTGGTCTAATTAGGACAGCAGTGCACAGAAGTAATACAGTCTTAAATGAGGGTTAGGGTGTCTTTCAGCTAGTCAGTTAAGAGGTTTTCTTTGTTGATGGGTTTTCACACACTTTTCTATGTTTTTATGTATTCTAATATTTTTAAGAACTAAGGCATAAACATATCTGGTTATCTAAAAAATGTCATGGATAAAAATCCTGTTGTTGTTTTGTGGTTTTGTCTTCGTTTTTCTAGCTGCTTATAGGTGGCATTTTTAAGCACTACATTTAAATTTCATGTTTACCTTATGCCAAAACATTTCCTGAGACCTGGCAATACTGTTTCCTTTTGTTGTGCAAGATGAAGCAAAATGTAAAAAATTTTTGTTTTGTCTCCCCCTCGAAGTGTTCTTCTAGAGGTAATCTACAAAAAATTCCATCAATGGGGACCAAAGTGCACAGTAGTTGGTATTGGTGATAAAGATTACTTTTTAAAAAACAGAAGGTATAAGATACACCACTACTTCAGGAACTTTAAGAGCAAGGAAGCAGAAATGAGCTTTCAGAATAGAAGGTGTTTTGGTGTGGGTTTCTTTATTCCTGCTGAACAGTAATTGTACATTTCCCTTTTCATCCTCTCTCTCTCTTTATTTCATTTTTTAATACTGCTTTATAGACAGGACTTTAGAAAGTTTTCTCAACTTTTGATTACTTTAATCTAACGTGCAGATGACTGGCATCTCAGGCATTTCTGCAGTACTGAAACTCTTTCAAAATTCCATCCACACACATCCTCACAATGATAAAACAGAAATTCTAAAAAAGTACGAAGAAAGGGACAAAACTAAACCTTTAGCTTCATATGGAGTATTATTTCTTGTTGTTTTTGCTACAAAGCTGTAATTGGCCTAGTGAGATCTGATAAATGTCTTATTATAAACTTGAACATCAACTGATGGTGAAAAAAAATATGATGGAACTTGTGACTGAAGGAAAAGTAAAAGGGTATAAATGACTGGCAGTTCCCATTTCTTTACAAGTGTTACATTTCAGTCCCCTGCCACTACCACATGTTTCCTGTTCACAGATAATTTGTACAACATATTTTATCATTCAGTTTTAGACATAGTTGAAAGGCTTTTGCCTAAGGCTTGGAACACTTTGAAAATTGTATACCATTTGCAAGGCTTTCTTCTGCTTCGCTGTGCAATTAGGTGACTGCCTTTCTGCAGACACTGGATTTATCATATGTGGAATTGGTTTTTTTCACCAAGGTGAACTGGGAACAAAAATGCAAGTATTTTTTCAGTAACCTACAGACAAGGGATTAGTGTGCTGGCACAAAGCTTGTAGGCTGCCTGTCAGTCCCGAACTGGATGCCGTTCCCTCACAGAAGGAGCATTGTAAGCCACAAAGTTTCATACGAAAATACTCTGCCACCCACTCTTGCATACCCTGTCTATATGTGATTTAAACTTCTAAGGTGCAAGAAGAGCATCCGATCAAAATAATATTTTTTTCTCTAATTTTCTAATACAACTATTTATGACACTGTTGATTATTTTCTTCCCTTCCTTCACCCCCCTCCTCCCCCTCACTCACTTTTCTCCCCCACCCCTCCCCAGCTCGGTCTTGACTAAACTTTGCTCTCGCCTGAAGAAGTGTGAAGATACTGATGTGCTAAGAGCTTCCCCTGCTGGAAGTTCCTAGCAAGAGGTGCTGTAGTCAAGTAGGGATGGATCTGGGACTAGCTCCCAGTTCAGCTGATTTATGTGTTCAGTTTCTGTCAGCAGAGAGTACATAATGTGACTTGAGATGCTGATTAAATTTCATGTGTATTTCTATGTTCTAAATAAACCAAATTTTAAAGTCAGATTTGAGCAATGGTAGTTTATAACCCTCATTACAGCAGTTTGCATTTTTCCACTGAATTCTGTGAGGAAAAAGGAGACAAATTCAGGCCTTTTGTATAATGTATCTACGTGCTTTTACAAGGTCATCTTCCCTTCCAGTAGAGGATCTGGAGGATTCCTTAACAAGTAAACCTTATCTATTTAAATCATGTCATTGTTTAATGAGAATTGAATTGTGAATTTATTCTTTGCTTTTGGTTGCAGACCAAACTTGTGGAAACTGTGGGAGTGTAAGTGCATAAGTGAGCTGCAAGGAACACTTGTATCATATAGCATAATTCCATTGGAAGAAAGGCATATTTCTTCAGACTACACGTCTTTCTTAGGCAGTGACTGCCTAAGTGCCTCTTCTGAAAGCTTCTAAAAAGCTGCATTTTTGAAATCAAAACTAAGAGAATTTCAATCTAATTTTTTAGATATCCATCTTAGAAATACCTGGCTGCAAATACCTTAGCTGGTTTTTTGAGTGCAAGGCACAATATTATTACTTAGATAGTGTAAATGCAGTAATAAACTTCTGATAGACTGTGCTGGAAACATGGCCACTGTCTGCACAGTGTGACTGAGCAGGCAGGATTGTCTTGACCACTCTGTAAGGTCTCTCTGCCTTTGCACAGGCCAGCGATGTGACTTTGGCATATATTGCTTCCTTGGTCACATCCATCTCTGTTGATTTTGTCTGGTTAGATTATAAAGGTTTTCTGGGGCACAGATTGACTCAGTGATTTGAAAGCTCCTCAGTGTTCTGAAGCAGGTGGCACAATGGATGGATTAGTGTGGTATTTCCCCTGTGATGGTATACCCCAACCTGCAGGGCTTTGACATGAGATTGCAGCAGTCTAAGAGGTTACTTAGAAGCCTACACTGTGCCAAAGCACTTCTACTCCTACCTGAATTACCAGGCTCACCTGGGGATGTATTTTGTATCCTACTGAATCATAGGTATTTGGGGCAATAAGAGAAACCTTGCTCTTTCCAGTTGTAGCCTAGGGAGGACTGAGTCACAGCAGAGCTACCTTAGTGTGTTTGAATGAGCAAATATTTGGAGAGCTCCAGAACTCCCACCATCTGTACACATGCAGATACACAAGTAGATGGAAAGCTTCCAAAGGAAGTTCCCTTTCAATCCCCATAAAATGCCTTAGACCCGGCCAGCAACTTGAGCAAAAGGAACAGAGGATTTGCTTTAAATTCTCTACCTTGCTTAATTTAATCTGCTACCTGGTAGAAGACTCAGAAAGGTTAAAAAAAAAAAAAAAAAGGTACTGGATCATGGGATTTCCCAATCTAAATGTAATGATAAAACCAGACTGACTCCCTTCTTTCTGTGCTATCCATTGTGCTTTGTCCCAAATGGGAAATATGGTTTGCCAACACAGAGGCAGCATACACTGTAAACAATGACAAGAATAAAGCTAAATATTATGCATACTCATTGCATGCAATCCTGAACACAAACATCCCTACTGTAAAACAG